CATCTGCTTTTAGGGAGAGAAAAGGAAGGTGATCAAGCATTTTAAAGCATCTACCTGTCTACTTACTTTACAGATATCTCATTTGAGCCTCACAAGAACCCGGGGAGGTAGTTTCTCTTTATTATTTTATTTTACAGATGAGGAAACTGATGCAGACAAAGTTTAAGTAACTTGCTCAGGGTCACATAGCTGGTAAGTGGCTAAGGCCAGATTTTAACTCAGTTCTTCTGGACTTGAGTCCTAGTACTCTACTTAGTGCCACCTTGCTGTCTAGGTAGAGAGAGAAACATTCTCCAGATAATTGAAGTTCTCTAGCACTGCCACTTCTTGCTTCTCTGTTATGTTCATTTTGTTTCTCAAACTTCTCATTGATTTTTTTTCTTTCCAGATGAGGAAATTCAATTCAACCAATCTTTTATTAAGTACCTGCTATCCACGAGATACCATATAAGGCCCTGGGGATGCAAAAATAAAATGTGTTTGCTGCCCTCAGGTTGCTTGCATCCTACTTTGGGGTATTGTGAGGGGATTGTTTGGTATATGAAATCAACATGATATCAGATAGTATATGATGGAGGCAAAGGAAGAGATCTTGACAAAATGCTTTAAATATAAGGAGGAGACCATATTCAGCTGTGGGATCAAGATAGATTTCCTATTCAAGGCAATCCTTTTTAAGCTGAGCCTTTAAGACTAGCTGAGCTTTTAAGATAAATTGAGCCTTTAAGAGATAATCTGAAAGGCAAAAATGAGGAAGGAGTACTTTTTTGGCATGGGAGCCATGTTGGAATGTATGAAGTAGATGATGTGAGTTTTGGAACTCACCTCCTACTTCAATCTGGAAAGACTGTGAAATACAAAGAGAAGAATAATGTGAAGCAAAGTTGGAAAGTTAGGTTGGCATGTCTAGTCCAATCCCCTCCTTCTATCTATTGATTGTTGAAGTCTTTAAATGCCAGGATAAAGAACTTGCCTGTTAGAACCATTTCCTAGTGTGTTGACAAAGGCTTTTGAGCAGACTAGACTGTCTATTAGGAAGATTATTTTGGCTAGTATGTAAAAAATGTTCTAGATATGGGGAGAGGTTGATGACAGGAAATAGGAAGCTAGTATAGTAGTCTAAATAGTAATAATGAAGGCCAGAACTGGGGTGGTAGCTGTATGAGTAGAGAGAAGGGAATGGATTGATAGTGATTGTGGAGAATCAGTAGGATTTAGTATCAGAAGGATTCTCGGGTGAGAGAGAAGGAAAAGTCAATAATGATGCCAAAGTGACCTTACGGCTGTTGTAAGAGGAGCAGATTTAGGAAAGAAGATGAATGCAGATTGGACATGTTGAATTTGAGTTGCTAGAGGAGTACACAGGTGGAAATATCTAGTAGGCAGTTGGAAATGTAGGACTGAAGTGCAGAGAGAGAATGAAAGAGGATACCTAGATTTAAAAGACATCTTTTTTCTTCCTTGTATGGTTCTGTTTGCTACATAACTACTTTTCAAATGTAGCTACATTGCTGCTTTAAAGTATTGATTTAGAAGTGATATAGAAATGTATAGGAGTGATTGAACAGAAAAGTACAAAATTAGATGAGGCATAAACAGTCTTGGGTGGAAGGAAGATGACTGTAAAGGAACTATTAAGTGGGTTGGAGGGTGATCAGGACGGTGAAGTTTTAGAAGCCCAGGGTAAAACTCAGAGAGGTTTAGTGACTTGAGGTTACTTAGCTAGTCAGTGGTAGAACCTAAGTCTTTTGTCTTCAAGTCCTTTGCTTTTTCCGCTGTCATCTTAAAAAAGCGAATATGCGCTCATATTTAAAGAGTTGAAATCTAGAAAAGGTAATTAAGTTATTTTATGCATCTTCAAAGGGTAAAACTAGGACAAATAGAGAGAAGTTAGAATGAGGTAGGTTTTGATTTGATAAAAAGAGTTTACCTATCTGGATGTCTGGTAATATCTGCTTAACAAAAGAGTGAACTTCGTATTGTTGGATTAATTGGTTGTATTTCACATGGTGCTGTCCAGTTACAAAGTACTTTGGCAACGATAGCCTGGTGAGATGGTAAGTAACAGTGATAGTCCAGTTTTATAGAGAAGGTGATTGAGAATCTGACAAGTAAAGTCACTCTTAAGGAAGCCTTTTAGCTGGTGAAATTGTAGAATTAGCAATCAAATTTAAGTATTCTTGTTTATTACTACTACTGCTACTGCTTGCTACCATTTATATAGGTCTTTAAGGTTTGCAGAGTGCTTTGAATCCCATTTTCTCCTCATAATAACCTTGGGAGGTAGGTGCTATTATTATTACCATTTTGTAGAAGAGGAGACTAAGGCCGAAAGAGGTTAGTGATTCACCCAGGATCACACAGTAAGTGAGGCAAGATTTTAATTAGGGTTTTCCTGATTCCAAGTCCAGCACTCCAGTCCGGGTTCCATCTAGTGGCCTAAGCACAGGTTGTCTGAATATATGTCAGGGATGTTGCGGAAGACATTGCAGAATAGGAAGAGACTTCGGGCTAGCTGATGCCTGAAGTTCCCTTCAGTCCCAAAGGTTGAAGAGGAATTTAGAGGTCATTTAGTCCAAAGCCTTCATTTTACAGGTAATAAAACTGAAGCCTGAGTGAGTTGGCCAAAGTCACGTGGTTGGTAGTAAACAGCAGAGCCAAGATTCTGTGATTCCAAATCTAGTGTTCTTTTTCTATACCTCACTACTCCTCTCTATTGAATACAAAGCATTATTTAATGAAGTGTGACTTTTAAATAAATTATCAGCTCTCTAATTTCTAATGTTAATTTCATACCATTTGCATCAATAGAGGGAGTTTCCACACCTGGTATTCTCTACACTAATGAAACCACAAATCTGGCCCCCAAAAGTTTTGTTTTGAATATAATATGTCTAGTGTGACGTTGTTACTGAATTGCCTGCATGTTTTTGTCTGTACCTCCTTATTTGGAGAAGAAAATTAAGAAATATGTTTTTTATTAAGTCTTTTCTCCACGTCCTCCCCTTCCTCTTCTTTCTTCTAACACATAAGTTCCTTTTTTGCTTTGAAACAGCAACTGAGCTGCCAGCAAAAAGGCTTTTTTAAGCAGAAAATACTTTGTTTTTCTGGGACATGTAGGAACTTAAATTGAAGCCACATACCTCTGAAGGAAGTTGGGATAGAGAATCAATCACAAATATTTGTCCCGCTAACCTGGCCTGGCAGCTTCTCACCTTATCTTTGTCTTTTTCTCACCTTCTTTGGACTTTTCCCCTTCCTCCCTACCTCAGTATACTTCATTTCTTTTCTGTGTCCTCCTTGCCCCACCCCTTCCCCTAACCTGACCTATCCTGCAGGTGAATGTAAGCTTCTTGAGAGCTGGGGCTGTTTTGTTTTCATCTTTGTATCCTCTAGTGTGTAACACCTTACCTGTCCTATGTGTAGTAGGCACTCTACCAGTGCTTCTTAATTGAATTGAATAGGAAGACTTAAATAATGTTGTCCTGTAATTGCTTGAGTCTTCTTTCCTGAGACCAAAGGCTCTTGAAGAAACTTGAAAGAAAAGAAATCATTACCTTTCAGTCACTTACATATCATATTCCCCATTTCTCTCTCTCTCTCTCTCTCTCTCTCTCTCTCTCTCTCTCTCTCTGTTGAAGTTCTGCCACTGATTACTATAGATAAATCTGCTCTTTAGAAAACAGAGATGAGAGTTAATGAATGTTCTTCCAGATAGAGGTGGACTAGGATCCCTATTCACATATAACTTAGTTCCCTATTGCCCCCCCCTTTATAGTAGAAGCACCAAGGAGAAATTATGTAAGTATAATGTTAGTAGTATAGAAAGATTGCAGACAGGAAAAGTAAAGAAGTACTAGATCTTAAAACTCTCAATGTATAATATATTTTAGAATTGAGTCCCTCTAAACTTAGTATTTGTCTATTATCTTCTATCTTTGTATATAGGAGTAATCCTATATACAAAAATCACTTTAATTTTTCTTGGATCCATTTCAGCATAGAGTACATCTGTGACTGATCTGTCTTTAGGCCATAGTATAGAATTCTAGTACTTGTTTGATCTCTAAGTAACACATTTCTTTCACGGATTGTATGTTTTCTAGTTTTTGAAATGGAAGATAATAAAATCAGTTAGGGTTGGTTATCAATTAGGAATTAAGTAAAATATTCTGAAGGGTTTTTTTTCCTCTTTTGTTAAAAAAAACATTCAGCATACACAGAAACATTCAAATCTTCAAAACTTACAATGTAAATTGTTATTTTAAAAAAGTTCTATTTATGGATTCAGTCCTAATATCTTACTTTAAATGCCTCATTGGGCCTGTAAATAAGCTTAGTTCTTGAAGGCTGTGCCTATAGAGCACTAACTCTGCTAGACTGTATCAATATCAAACAAAAAGGCTTGTGGAACATGTCAGTGACAAGTCCACACAGTTTGTAAAGGCTTTGCACCAGATTGGCTGCAGGATGTTGAATTCTTTGTTCTCAAAGACTCTCTACTAAGTTGTAGCAGTTTTGCAATTGGAGGTAGGACCCACACTGATGAAATCACAAATCCTTGAAATATCTATGAATTTATTTTAACTAAATTTCTTCCACTTAATTAGAACTCATCATTGTGCTTGCTCACTTTCTCAGCAAGTGCTTCAGACAAGAGACAGAATCTATTCTAAATCATGGCTTTCTTTCATCTGCATGCCATTTCACCTTTGCTTTATCTTCCTTGCAGCATTTATTTTCACTCCCCCCAACCCCATCTTTGATTTTCCCATTGCCTTTGTTTTTTCAGATATTTATGTGTGGTGGGAAAGAAGAAAAAGAGTTATTGGAGTGACATCTTCTCTTTACTACTACACGTTTATTCATAAACCTATCCCTTACACCTTCTTTTCACACAGTATAGTATTGTTCAATATTCAGGCAGTTTGAAGAGATGGAAGCCAAGGGCTCCATATAATTCTTATTCCATTGGGAAGGTCGTGCTTATTGAATTTTAGGTATTCCAAGAAGTTCCAGTGAACTGACAAGGACCTCTCCTCACAGTGTCAGAACTGTGGTGATGATGAGAGTAATGCAACTAACAGATAGTGCTGGTATGTAACCCCTTATTTTGCATGTTTATTTCACCAGAAAGCTATATGGACTACGGGGGTAAATTATGTTTTGAAAAACATATCAAAAGAAGTATTTGCATGTCTTGAAAGTAGGTTGTGGTGTACTGGTAAAAGAAAACTTGTAGGGAATAAAACCTTGTTTAATTCCAAATTCTGTGATGTCCAGTGTATTTCTAACATTAAAAATTATATTTCTAGTTTGGTTTCCAACTAATTTGGTAGCAAGTTGACTATTGGTGAATCTCTTTGTACCTTCTTTTGCATAGTGATTTCTTATTCTTAGTGAAGTATGAAGCCATAAATGTTATATTGTTTCCTTATTGTCTTGTAATATGTAATATATAATATCTATCCTATTTATTTTTTACTTGAATTCTTTAAAATCTGGCCTTACCTGAAACTAAATGACTATATTAGAAAAATATTAGCCCAACTAGTATCTTTTCTGTTTATGATGTGTTTTATTACATTGTAATAGATCTGCTTTAAAACAGAGTTGCAGCTTTAGAAGAAAATCATAAATTTAACACAGTTCTCTCATGTTTGTTCTACGATCATTCTTTTTGTTGTTTGTTGATAGATGCATAATGTGGTTTTTCTCTACCATTGTATAACAGTTTGTTTTGAACTTACACCTGGTGAGATCATTACTTCTTTCAGAGTAGACAGGTTGCTGCTTTGCTCATATAGAGCAATCATGTAGTTTTTATATTTGATGATAATATTTTAAACATTCCAGCTTTTATCAGAGGGAATTTTGTATAATTTCCAAATATGTTTTTGTAAACTAGCATATTTGTGCTGTTGCTAGAAATCTTAATTAGCATTTGCAACTTTTTTAGCAAAGCTATTTTGTTCCTTATTGTCCATAAACAGATTCTTTTGGTTTCATCAAGGTAGAACAAAACCAAGGCATAGGGCACAGATCTAGGAATGTTACTGCTGTTATAAATTATTTTAAATGTATTCCATGGCTGTTTTTTTGTTTGTTTTTTGGTTAGGCAATGGGGTTAAGTGACTTGCACAGGGTCACACAGCTAGTAAGTGTTATATGTCTGAGGCGGGATTTGAACTCAGGTCCTCCTGACTCCAGGGCCGGTGCTCTATCTACTGCGCCACCTAACTGCCCCTTCCATGGCTGTTTTTAAGGTTACCTCAAAGATATGTGTTCTTTTTTTCATAAATGAACTATTCTTTTGTAGAAATGTATGAAAAATTGCAGGATAGCTTTTAATGTAGACATATATTTTATAAGTCATTAATATCTCCAGATCTGATACAATTGTGAATAGTTTGTGGGGTATCTGACACTAATTGATGAACACAGCTTCTTCGTATTATAGGTGACCTTAATAATTAACCAGAGGTCATAGAACAAGGTAGATCTGGGATTATTCTTATTTACTAGCCCTGTGAAATTATCATTGTCATTCTGTTAATAATAATTGTATTTAAATAATATATGTAACTGGTTAACTAAGTGAAATGTAGCATAAAAGTAAATTCAGATTTTTTCCTCTTTTGTAAATTCTTGCAATTAAAAAGAAAATGTTTCATACAACATTGAAATCAGAAATGTATGAAAAAGTAACTAATTGCATCATATGCTTTTTCCCCCATAGAAAAGTTGGAGGCCCCAACACCTTCCCAGGGACAGCTGAGATATGGTAATAGTTTTATAAATGTTGAATGTCTATCTTTTAGATTTTGATGGTTTTATTCTTTAGTAGTAGAAGGAATTTTAGTGAATTAAATATATACTATGTATATCATATGTATGTACTTATGGGATATGTACTTATTGTACTGAGGTACAAGGTCTGTAATCCTTGTTAAGAAATATCACGATACTGTGGAGCATTTTATTGATAAAACTTGAGTTTAAAATACTTTAAGTATAATAACTATCCTTTAGAAGGGAAAAAAAAACCACTTTGGTGGTAGAGAGTTTTTCAGTTCCCTAGGAAAAGTATTTACTTGCTCTTTTGGTTAACAGGTCCATCTTTTAATGAGTTAGGAATCATACGACTTGAGAATATGAACTATAATGATTGTAGACTGTTTGATAGGAATTGCTTCCCCCAAGCACTAGTAAGAAGAGTGTTGGAGTGAACTCAGAGCACTAGGGAATGCCTTCCAGCACAAGCTTGTGACCCAAAGTATGTTATTGTATGGAAAATATTGAAGACTTGGTTTTAGGAAGGTGGGGACTGGAATTTAAATCTGGACATTTGGCTCATAGTTGCCTTGGGGAAGATGCTTATTTCACATTTGGTAATGAATTTAAAAAGGTTAAAATTTTGAGTTAAATATTGGATATTGATATAACAGTAACTATTACTGAATTATTGAATGGCTATTTTCCCAAAGGATGTTAAAGCACTCCTTATGACTTATGAAATCCATTCATTACTAGACTAAATGAAAGTGTTAATGGAGTGCAATACTTTGTAACATAGACATTCCATATCTCAGTTCTGTGCTTTTGCATAGGCAGTCCCCTTTGCCTGGAATGCTCTCCTTCCTCACCTTTGCCTGGTAGAATTTCTAGTTTCCTTCAAAGAATAGTTTAAGTGTTATTTCAGTTTGTCAACAAATAAGCATTTATTAAGTGCCTATGATGTGCCAAGGCACCGTATTAAGCACCAGAGACACAAACGGAGGCAAAAGACAGTCCCTGCCCTCCAGGAGCTCACATTCTAATGGGGGAGACAACAAGCAAACAGATATGGGCCAACCAGCCATATACCGGATAAATGGGAAATAGTTAAGTGAGGAGGCACTAGAATTAAAAGGGGTTTGGAAGGTTCCAGTAAAAAGGTGGGATTTTATCAGCAACATTGTGTGATGATCAACTGTGAATGACAGACACTTCTCAGCAACAAAATTATCTAAGACAAGTACGAAGGACTTCTCGAAGGAAAATGCTATCTGCATCCAGATGAAGAACTGATGAACTCAGGGCAGATTAAAGCATATTTTTTTCACTTACTTTATACATTCTCATGTTTTTTTTTTCTCTTTTGATCTGTTTCTTCTTTCACAGCTGTGACTAATATGGAAATGTTTTTACATGATAGCACATATATAAACTATATCAAACTGCCTACCATTTTCAGAAGAGGAGAGGGGAAGGGGAAAATTCAGAACTAAAAATCTTATAAAAATGAATGCTAAAATTTTTCTTGACATGTAACTGGGGGAAAATAAAATAAAAAGAAAGTGGAATTTCAGTTAGGACTTGAAGGAAGCCAGGATGAGGGAGCGCATGGTAGGCATTGGAGGACAGCCAGAAAAAAGTACCTGGAGCAGTTGTAGAGTAGAAAGGAAACCAGTGTCATTGGATTAAAGAGTATGTGTTGGGAAGTAAGGTGTAAGAAGACTGGAAAGGTAGGAGGGACTAGGTTAAGGTTATGGAGAACTCTTAATGCCCAAAAGAGGATTTTGTATTTCGGAGCCACTGGAGTTTATTAGTAGGATGATGTGGCTGGACTTGCACTTTAGGAAAATTACTTTGGCAGATGGATGGAGGATGGGTTGGAGTGGGGAGAGGCTTGTTGCAGGTGTTCACGCTGGTGGGCTATTAGAGTATTGTAGTCCAAGTATGAGGTGATGAACACCTGCACCAGCATCAGAGGAGAGAAATGGAGCAAAGGTGAATTCAACAAGCCTTGGCAACAGATTGAATGGGGGCAGAGTGAGAGATAGTGAGGAGTTGAGGATGACTCCTACATTGTAAGCTGGGAGTCTGGGAGGATTGTGGTACCCCTGACAAGTAATAGGAAAATTTAGAAGTGGAGAGGGTTTAGGGGGGAAAGATAAGGAGTTCAGTTGGACGTGTTGAATTTAAGGTGTCTGTTGGACATCAAGTTTGAGATTTTGAAAGGCAGTTGGAGATAGGAGATTGGAGGTCAGTAGAAAGTTTGGAGCAGGACGGGTAGATTTGAGAGTCATCAGTATAGAGATGGTAATTAAATTCATGGGAGATGATGAGATCACCAAGTGAAGTAGCATAGAGGGAGAAGAGAAGAGGGTGGGGGGGACACCTATTGTGAGATAATGTTGTCTGGATGATGACCCAGCAAAGGAAATTGAGGAGCAGTCAATCAGGTAGTGGGAGAACCAGGAGAGAGATTCCTTTCTATCTAAGGCCTTTTTTGATTCCCTCTCTCCACCCCAAGTGTTAGTGCTTTCTGCTCCCCAACCCAGTTTACTTTGTATTTACTCTTTTCTGTATTTTGTATGTACTTATTGGTATACAAGTTGTCTTCACACCCTCTTCTTTCCTTCCCTTCTCTTCCATGTAAGCTTGAAGGCAGGGTTTTTTTTCTTTAGCATCTAATACTGTTGTAACACATAATAGATGCTCAATAAATGATAATTAAATTGAGTAAGATATGATATGGCAACTCTAATTCTTTTTTCCCTTTTCCTTCCTTATCTCTCTCTTTCCTGTTCTTCCATAAAGTCTTGTTTACCAAAATGAATAACTGCCTTCTTTTTTTGCAGGTAGTAAGGAAGTACTTTCCCCAAACATTTTGTATTTTATCTTATTTCTTATTATTAATAAAACTTAAACTTCTATTAAAGGACAGCTATCTTGATTAGTCAATATAAAGGTATCATATAGTTAAGATTTCAAAGCCACCCTATGCTATTTTGCTTTTTCTTGATAGCCATTTTTAGGTGGAAGGTAATTCTGATTCCATTTTAAAATAAATCTTAACTCACTGATCCTTTCTTAAACATTTAAAAAATAGATTTTTATTGATATCTTTTTTTTTTATAACATCTTGATTTTTTTTCCCTGTCTGCCTTTCTCCCCTCTCCCAGGACACATCCTTTATACCAAAAATATTTTCATTAAATGTTAAGATATATATTTGTAACTATTATAACTCTATCTTGGAGATTCAGATTAAAGCACAAATTATAAAATATACTATGTAAAGAAGTTTCACCTATCTCCATAAATTTCATAGTTACCTCATATGGGCCTCTTCTCTCTATATAACAAGAGGTCTTTTTCATGAAATGTTTGGGGATTTTAGTACTTGCTTTGGTACTGCTGATACAGTTAGTGTAGTGTATTGGTGTTTAATTGTCAATAACTAAACTAATTTATTTTGTTCTTTTTATAAGAACTGTAGTTCTTATAAAGTTCTTAAGTTCATCTGTCAGTCTCTTTTTCTGTCTTCCTTCCCGAACCTGTCACTCATTTCTAGCCCAGCTCGTATACTTCTCACCCCTCCTCTCACCTCTTCCTCCTCTCTCCAAAAAGGTTCAGTTGAAGGAACTATAGAAATAGGAACAATGGGTTTAAGTTTCATAGTAACAAACTTAGGTTTGAAATAAAGAAAAACTTCTAAGAGATAGAGCTGGCGCCAAAGTGGATTGGGCCACCTTCTCAGGAAATGGCTTTCTTCTTGTTGGAGATTTTGGACAGAGGTCAGCTGACCACTTTTCTGGTGTGTTGTAGGATGTCTTTTTTTTTTTTGATAATAGTTAGGACTAAATGGGCTCTGAGTTTTCTTCTAGCTTTGAATTCAGTGATTTTGAGTATTCCCATTTATAACATTATGGATTCCTTAAAATGTTAATACTGAAATATTGAGTGCAGTTAAGGAAGACAAATGATTAATGGACCAGTGCTGGGTTAATTTATATTTCTGTGATTGAAAGTCTTTTCTGCTGCTTTGTTTGCTATGTTGTTTATTAAATTTTTACCGTCTCTGTCAGCTTTTAGTATAATTAAACATACTGCTTAACTAAAGTGTATTTTCCTGTAATTTCTAACATAAGCAGATCATGAGAAGTAAAACATGAAAAGAAATTATAGTTAGTTTATGATTCACTGTTTTTTTTTTCTCATCCTTAAAATCCTCGGTACTTTTTACCATTTGCATTTAGCCAAAAAAGGTTTTCTCTTTTTTTGCTGCAAAGCTTGCCACAGTAAAAGCTGATATACAGGATCCTGTTAGACATGAGTAAACAGGAGTTAAAAAGAGTCCTAAGAGCATTAAAACATACCACAGAACTCCTTTGACTATCTTTTGGCTTTGCTTTGTAAGTAAGGGATTTTACAGTAATTTTATGTAATGTCATTAGTTGAACCCCTATACTAACTGCTGCTTGACATATGCTATCATGTGAAATGTATTTCAGTGGGATACTGTTGACAGTTTTTCCTTGATGTTACTCTTTAGGAAAAACAACAACTTAAGACATCATGAATTTAGAGGGGTTTTTTTCACTTTATTGGTCAGAGAGCCCCAATATAACTCCTGTTCTTATTTTTATAAATTGAATAATACAAACTTCTGTAGAATATTAGAAAGACAGGTATGGCACAGTAGAGAGAGCACACTATCAGATGTTTAAAATTCTATTCCTGACACTTATTAGCTGTGTGATCTTGGACAAGTCACCTCATTTCCCCATACCTCAGTTTCCTCATTTGTAAAATGAAGAGGTTTAGAATAGATAACTTCTGAGGCCACTTCTTGGTGAGTGATTCTATGATCAGCCTCTATGTGGGTATTTGTTTACATTGGATATGCCTTAAAACCAGCTGCAGATTACGGTGACGTCTGGATAGTTGCTACCCTTTGGTCAGAATCCTATTGCTTTCCCTTTAAATAGAATAGTACTTGCTATAGTTGAGAGAAAAATTACATATTTGGAAGGTCAATGTTTACATGAAGTTATCAGTTTCTCTTGATATTTTTAATACTGTCCTTTGTTTATCAGAATCATTTTACTTGGGTTTGCTGATTTGGTGGGTTATCATTCATTACTAAAGCTTACTTTTTTTTTTCTAATTTTGAAATAGGTTTAGTTGTATCTTTATGTATGAGAGAAACAGGTTAGTTCTAGTAGCATTGTGACCAGGTCAAACATGGAAAAGTTATTTATCTGTTTGTTATTTTTATTTCTTCTTCTATAAGTATGTAACTATTATTTCTATCAGTATAAAACACACAATCATAGTAAACAAATCTTTTTTACATATTATATACAATGTTTAGAAGGGTTTGGAGCTTTAGTATTGTTTGTGCCTGTTAGGTACTGTGACTATAAATATTTATTAACTACTGTTTCATTCTGGAAATGACAGAAATGTTGTATTAAACATAAGCTCCGTGAGTTTCAAAAACTTTTGGAAGACTTGACCATATGTTTTTCTTTTTTTTTTTCCTTTTTTTGTGCTAAAGTTGTGGCAGCCTTAAACTATATAAGGTATTTATTGCTTTTCTGTTTTTTTGATGTTTTTCAGTATTCATCCACAATGCATTACCTTTCGTAGGGTTTGGCTTTTTGGATAATGCAATTATGATTGTTGCAGTAAGTTCCTTTTTTTCCCCCCCACTTCTTATTTAGTAAAGGAATTGATATGATCTTAAACATTTTCTTGTTTATTCATTTATGAAGTTTTAATTTGTGTATTGAAAATATATTGCTTATTATATTTCTTTGAAACTGTTACCTTAAATTTTAAGAAATGATTCAGAGGAAACATTTCACAATGTAATGTGCTGCATTAATTATATCATCAATTTGGATTGATTAGGTTTATATTTTCAATTGCTTATTTTATGATTCAAACTTATTTTGAATAGAAAAAACTCTACAAATGTATATATGTATATACTATACACATATATGCACATATCTATATATATGCATAAATATACATATACATTTTCTGATGTTCTTTAGAGGTATATACAGGTAATTCTCAGTTTATAAAACAGGTTTGTATTTTAAAAATTTGTACCTTTTCCCTTAAAGCATTTTATATGACCTTACTTGACTTCATTTGACTTTCATAACAACTCTTGAGGTACTACAAATATTATCCCCATTTTATAGATGAGGAACTGGAGATTCAAGGAAATTAAGTGAATTAACTCATAGTCACACAGCTAGTAAGTATCAAGAGGTAGTATTTGAGCCCTGGTCTCTCCAGTGCTTCAGGTTAGCATTCTTTCTACCATAAAAACTATAATAGGAGGAAGAAGTTGTAGTTTTGGGATTGATTAGCATTTATTTAAAAAATGGATAGAAATTAACTTAGTAGTAGAGAATTAAAAGAAATTAAAGAAAATTTAAAAAGAAAAAAATATGTTCCTTATACTTTTGAGAGAGGAAGAAGGGAATGAATCAAATCTTTCAGTTCTCTAAGGTATAATGAAACATATTAAATAGTATTAATATCATTAATTAGCATAGCATTAAATAGTACAGTTTAGCTGTAGCGTTTTGTGCTTTCAATCCTCCTTATCTAAAGAGATTAATATGTTTCATAATTATGACTTCTCAGTGTTAATAGTAATCTAAGGAAGAAATTGAGGGTTTACCAGAAAAAATCTAGACAAGCTGGAGACCCTAAAAGATTGAAATAGGATACATGAGGTGTAGCAATGGATTTGATACCTAAAACATAATTTTAAAAAGTCTAGTCATTTGAAAATAATGCCTATTTTATATTTAGCTGCTTACATTTATATATTAGAACAGAATTTACTGTGTAGTGTTGATTGCTTTTATGTGTATGAATATAACTTGTTATATTATGTAATTAATACCCCATAATATTGAAATAGTTAATAGGTAATATATAATTATAATAAATATATCCATGATGAATAGTTGATTACAAAATTAACTTAATAGACACATACATATATGGCAGATCATAAGGATTTATGTTTTTTGTGGCAAATCACATTATAGCTTCATTATTTTACTTTAAACACTTTTTTTTTTTGGGTAAGGCAATCGGGGTTAAGTGACTTTCCCAGGGTTGTACAGCTAGTGAGTATCATGTGTCTGAGGCCGGACTTGAACTCAGGTCCTCCTGACTCCAGGGCCAGTGCTCTATCCGCTATGCCACCTAGCTGCCCCCATTATTTTATTTTAAATAAATTCCCTGACCATCTTATTTGTCAACTTAAATGTTTATTAAAAAACATACTCTGAAGCCAAAGATAAATTTTTGGGGAATATTTAACATTTCAGATTATCTATTACATTGTTTCTATAAATAGGAGAATTGACTGAATTTATAAGCCCCAGATTCCCTATAGTAATAGTGCTTCATTGATTGAATTATATTTGCATATTTAATACTGTGATGTTTGTCTGTAATTTTTATTTACATAATACCATAGTGAAAAAGTAAAGAAACACCTTATTATTTTGCAGAGTACAAGGAGGACATTTAGAGGGTAACTAATTTGAAAGAAGATTCATCTCTTAATAGTAACAGCTAAAACTAATACAGAACATCCTGTATGGTTTCTCCTCAGACCAAAAAAGAAAAGCCATTATTGGGAAATTCTTGTAGCAATAAACAAAAATGAGGTGGTCTTGCTTTATCTTACTGCTACCTTGTAGTGCTGCTGGGCATTGAATGTTAATTCCTTGGATTAAATGTGTTATAGAAATAAAAGAAGTTATAAGATTCTTAATTTTCTCCTCCCCTGTTTCACTGGGCACTTGAGGTCCCTTAACTCCCTGGGGTAAATTCCTTACTATTTGCTTCCCCAGCAGTGTTCATGGCAGAATTCCTAGTCAGAAGTCTGCAAATGTCACTGGACTAGGATCTGACCTGTATGGTGTAAAGCTTTGGCTTGTACAAAGATTTCCTCATATAGCTCCCTATTTCATCTTCATATTATCCAAACAGCCTCTTTCTTACATTATTTTTATATATACTTAGTATTGCATCATATTTCATCCAGTTTTGTTGCAATGGATATTAGCAAAACTTTGAAATACTTGAATATAATTTAAGTTGGGTTTAAACAGTGATCTAGCAGCTATATTTAAATGTCCCCAAAATTGTCTTTGCTTTATCTGGGAATTTTCTACCTCTGTTTATTGCTGTTTAGAAGATAAATAAATCTCTTATGTGAAGCTGAGTTAGCAGCTACTTGAAAAATAATTTTTATATACATTTTCCCCTCAGACTTCACTAATGTTACACCTGCTCTCAAAGAAGCAATAAATATTTTTTATATTGCTGAAACTGCTAGTCATTTCTCTTTTATATTAGTACCCAAGTTATGTTTCATTTCTAGCAGATTAAAATACTTAGTATCATTCATTTTGTTTTGCTTATATTTTCCTTCTTTCTTTTCTGAATTTATTTCTTTGAAAATTCACTTTGGTTGCCACTTTGTAATTAAAGTGCCTGGTAGGTCTTTTATGCATCAGCTTGTTTGGGGCACATATATAGCAAGTAGTGGATATTAGTGGTAAAACAAAGACATCCCACAGGAAAAAATGAAACAAAACAAACTGAGGTAAAATAATTTAAATCTTCTTCCTTCAACCATGTGAAAAATTCATGACAGATAACTCAATATTCCCTTATGTCAGAGAGTGTAGTATTTCTCAGAAACATGATTAGAGGTTTCTGAATCTTCTGTACTTTCTCAGACGAGAGTGTAAAAGACTTGAGAGGTCAGTCATCTTGACTGAAGTGTAGCAGAGTGATTGGATTGGAAAATGAGAACCTGGGATTTACTTCCCAGTTCTACATAATCAATCCCAATTGAATAATTTGATATACTGTTGCCCTAGTTCCCTCATCTCTAAAATGGAGGTAGTAATACACTAAGCCCCTTTTCGTCCTCAGAGGAATAATGAAAAGTCTATATAGTACTTTTGAATTCCTTAGATTAAATGTGTTACAGAAATAAAAAGGGGCTTTGTCTTATGCTGTAGATTTATTGGCCCAAATATTGCTAATTCTCTTTGTAAATGAGTCATCTAAACTCAAATTGTATGAAGCTTTATAAATAAACTATTAAAAGTATTAATATTAAAGAATAATTTGGGGGCCCCTCTAATTATAGGGGTCCCTAGGAAATGAATGTCTTCTTTTTTAGTCTTTTAGTAGAAAGTAAATTAATAAAAAGGTCAGCATTCAGTATTAAAATTATATATGAACAAGTATTCCCTTAGTTCAGGGATCTTCTAAAATATCTTTCTCTGTTTGTAAACTATGCTTTTGTTCAATATCTATAGTAGTGTATATTCCTTTTTTCCCTCAACAAAGAACAAAACCTAACTAAAATATCTCCTAAGGTCACCTCTGCTATATACTTTGTGTAATATGAAACTATATGTTAGAAATCTCTGATATAAGAATTTTTTTTGATGTTATCATTGTACAGTATATAGTACTGGAATAAGAAGATAATCAGTATATCTATTTCAGTATACAGTTTTATAGTTTTCTATGTTTTATTTTTAAACTTCATTTTAAAATATTAAAAATGTCTTTTTCCTATTTTTCATTTTTAGGGAACCCAAATAGAGTTGTCTATTGGAATTATTTTGGGGATTTCAACTATGGCAGGCAAGTAATATAAATAAAAGGTCCTTATATTGCTGTTTATGCACTGAAAGTTTTTTCCACGAAAATTCTTATTGAGGAAGATAATTTGTTCTAATAGATTTTGCCTTTAAAGTGTCTTTTAAAATAGAAATCATTTATTCTCTTCATTTTGTATTTATGTAGCACCTTCCTGAAGAGTTCAAAACATGTTATTATATTTTGCTCCTGGGCAGTATATTTACTCCCATTGAGCATCCCCTTTGACTTGGATAGATTGTACCTTTCTCTTACTTACCTCTCCTTCACTTTGTCTGCAGCACAGTTTGTCTTTAATAAAGGCTTATGTTTTATAACATTTTTGGTTACGAAGTCTTTTATGTATATTCTTACATGTGAAATCCTATGAAATAGGTAGTGAGAATAGTATCTTTCCATTCTGAGGCCCATAAGTTGACTTGCTCAAAATAACACAGCTAAGTGGTAGAACTATGATTTAAACTGAAGTCTTCTGACTACATATCTATAGTCTTTCTGCTATATCACACTTAATTTGCAATTAGGTAGAAAATTAGAGAGAGACAAATGGGAAAAGTACTATAAGATATAATTTTTTCCCCTTACCACAACCTTTCCATTTTCGGTGGTGAGACTTATGGTTGCTATGTTTTTTTTACACTGAAGGCAGATAATGAAAATTCTGTTCAACAAAATCAGTTCCTACTGTGTATGAAACCAGCCTTACAGTGTGGAAGAATGGGTTTAAATCTTGTCTCTGATACATACTGGCTGTGTAACCATGGGAAAATCATTAAAATTTTCAGTGCCCTAGGAAAAAACTCTTGAAGAATATGTTATGACTAGGTTGCCAGTCTTCATTAGTGGAGTTTCTAGAACTTTTCTATATAAGTCTGGACCCCCAAAAAGATACTCTGCTAGGTGATTGAGATACAAAAATAAATACAACACAGACACTATTCTTAAAGTCATTAAAATCCAATTTATGGAAAAAACATACAAATTTTGATTTGAGAGAATATGATCAGGATAGAGAAGAGGTTCAGACAGTGTACTATGAGAAGGTTTTATTCAGTAAGTAATAGAGAGCCATTGAAGGTCTTTGATTAGAGGAATGACTGGAATGGTCCACTCGGAAGATTACTTTGAAAGTGATATGAAGGAGTAAATTGGAGAAAGGGTAGACTGGAACTAGGAAAATTATTTAATAGTCTACTGAATAGGCAGTAAGGGATGAAGACTTGAATTAGGATGGTTGCAGTGATAATGGAAAGAAAGGGATAGAGGAGGAAGATATTAAAAAGCTTTTGACAGGACGTGACAATTGACTGGTTATATGGAGTGAAGGAGAAGGAAGAATTGGAAATGCCTGAGGTTTTTATCTTGGATGATTGGGAGAGGAGTGATATACGTAGAATCATAGATTTGGAGTGGGAAGGAACCTCAGAGGCCATTTAGTCCAATTTCCTCATTTACACACGAGGAAACTGAGGCGCAGGGAGGTTAAATGACTTGAGCAAGGTCAGACTGATAACAGTACATCAGAGGCAAGGTTTGAACCGGTATCCTCAGTTTTCAGACTTGGTCCCTTTCTCACTATACTATGGTAATATTGACTGGAATTGAAAAGTTGAGTAGGTAGAAGAATTGGGGGAGAGATGGAGTTCAGTTTTGAACATTATGAACTTGCCATGTTATAGCATATCTAGAAGACAGTTAGAAATATAGCATTGGAACTCTAGACAGAGATTGAAGGTAAGAGAATTTAAATTTGAGAGACATTTCTACAGAGGTGATACATTGAAGCCATAGTAGTAAATGAGGTCACCAAGTAAGAGAGAAGTGAGAGGGAAGAAAGGTCTAAGGACAAAACTATACTGTCTCAGATGTGGAAGGCAGCTGCCTCAGAGGCAGTCTAGACATGTACTTCTCCAAGAATGCTCTCTTAACATAGCTGGCACATAGCTCTCCAGCCTCTCAAAGACTTAAGTCTGGGATACAAATACAAATATATATACACTTTTCTTGAGTTACTTAAAATCTAATTGAGGAAGAGACACATATACAAATATTTCTGACATGGGGGAGAATGTGATTGGTATAGTGGAGGGGTTCATACAGTATACTATGAGAAGCATCCGTTCAGTTATTAATAGGGAATCACTGGAGATTTAAACTTCGCAGTATAGTACGATGAAAGAAGCTTTGCCTCTGGAGTCAGAAGATCTGGGTTCAAATCCTACCTCTGATGTTTGCTTTTTGGTGACATTGGTTGAATACTAACTTTCCCTGGGCCTCAGTTTGCTTATCTGTATAATGAGGAGGTTGAACTAGATGGTTTCTGAGATCCCTTCCCGCTCTAGACCTAGGATCCTTTGTATACCACCACCACTCTTCAAGTAATTTAGGGTCAAAACCTGAGTCATTTTCAACTCTTCTGTTCCTTCACCTTGCATAAACATAAATACAAGGAATACGGGGAAAGAGAAACCTGAGCTTATTCATCCCACTTTTGTGTGGCTGTGCCTAGGAAGTTTTTTGTTTGTTTTTTTAAAATTAAATTAAATTTATGTATTCATTCATTTATTCATTTGTTTGTTTATTTGTTTATTTAGCTTTTTTAGGCAATTGGGGTTAAGTGACTTGCCCAGGGTCACACAGCTAGTAAGTGTCAAATGTTTGGTCTGAGGCCAGAATTGAACTCAGGTCCTCCTGACTTCAGGGCCAGTGCTCTATCCACTGCGCCACCTAGCTGCCCCTTGTTTTTTATTTAAATGACAGCAAAGCTCAGCCTGCTTTTCTGTAACTTCTATCCATTGCTCCTACTTTTACCTTCTGGGGCCAGGCAAAACAAGTCCACTCTCTTTTACACGTGATTGGTCTTATGCTTAAAGACGGCCAGCATGGTGTATACAATTTTTCTCTTCTTCAGGCTCAATGTCCCTGGTTTCTTCAGCTGACACTTGCACGACATGATTTCCAGTCCTTGTTCCCCCTTACAATATCCTTGCTAAAATATGGCACCCAGAAATAAATAATACTGCACAAATGGGCTGACCAGGGAAGAGTATGACAGAACTGCCAACTCCTTCATTCTGGGATCATAGGATCATAGATTTAGAATTGGAAGGGACTTTAGGGTCATCTGGTTCAACCTTCTCATTTAACAGATGAGGAACTGAGGGAGACCGAGTAACATGCCCAGGGCCATACAAACTAGTAGGTGGTTCAGGGGGGATTTGAACTTGGATCTTACTGACTCCAAGTCCAGCACTCAATTCACTGCATCATGTCGCCTCTGTGTCATGATTTAAGTTTTGCAAAGTGCTTTACACGTGATGATCAAATGAGATGGTATAATATACTTACTAGGTAAATACTGCAATTATCATTATCCTTTTTTTTTTCAGATGAGATTGACACTCAGATGTTAAGTGATTTAAACAAATATCCTATGCCTCTGAAGGCACGTTTGCATGGCATTCAAAAAGCTGATCGATGCTTTTGGGCTGCCTTGTCACACACTTTTGGCTCCTTGAACTTGTGCTCTGGTACCATCCCTGTATCCCCTATCTTTTTTAGACCAACAGCTGCCTGTCTCTCACTCCTGAATCCTTTAAGTTTTATTTTTTTTAACCCAAGTATAGAATTTCACATGTCTCTCTATTCCATGTCTTCTTACTTAGTTTTGCCCAGTCATTCCAGCCTGTAATATTTTTGGGTCTTGTTAGTCCTGCCTCCCAGCTTCTGGTCGTCTGCAGGTTTAACAAGTGTGCCTTCTTTGTCTTTGTTAGAATTTTAGACACATGTTACATAGCACGTGATCAAGGAAATATTCCCTAGGATTTCCACTGGCACTTCCCTCCAAGATGACGTCGGTTGCTAGAACTAGAGAAAAAAAATGCTAATTGTTGGAGGTAGAACAATGTATCCTCTGTGAAATTGTTTTTGCTTTTTAATTTGGGGGTACTGTTTCTATCTTGGTCAGTTATTCTGTGGTCATCAGTTCACATAGTTTGGGAAATGTATTAATGTTGGAGTTTCTGAATTATGATTTTTTGGTAAGCATTTTTCTAATTTTACTTTTCAAATAATTTTTTCTAATCTTTTAGCTGCTGCTTTGGGAAATCTTATTTCAGATTTAGCTGGACTTGGGTAAGTTTTGTGTTTTTAAAACTTGAAACATTTGCAAGAATGTAAGTTTTATTTTTGACTGAGATTTTCAGAACTAAGGCTTTAAAAAACTTTGTAACATACATAATAATGTAGCTGTCATTCACTTAATGCTTTAAGGTTTGCAAGGCACTTTATTTACGTTCTCCTCTGATCCTCACAACCACCATGTGAGGTGCAGGCATGGTAGATGAGGCCATTGAGGTTTTAGGGGGTTAAGAGGCTTGCATATAGTTGTATAGCTAATAAATGTCAGGGCAAAATTAGAAAAGTCATTTGGTTATTCCCTGTAAATCTTAGATAAGCTGCTGGCAAAGAGGCATTTGCAGACTAGCTCTTCAAGGAGTAAAAACTAGATGAGACCTTAGAGGCCATTGCCCATCATAAGTGACTTGTGCAAGGTCTTACAGGTAATAAATAAGCCTGGTCCCTCTTGCTCTGTACTCTGCTAGGTTGGACTGAGGGTCATCTAAGTTGTCACATTCTGTAATGATATGGTAGGCGATGCTAAAGTTTGCCTTCTAACTTACTCTGTCCCCTCTGTTGATGCTTTTGGATGTGTTGGGTAAAGTCAGCCAAACCAAGAGGGAATTTTTTGAACTAATTCAAATCACTTATCTTTTATTAAATGCCATTGTGTGCTGACCACTGCATTTAGGTGGTGGGGGAGAAACAAAGCTTACAGAAGAAGTGATCTCCCCCTGCATGGATCTTATAATCTAGTAGTGTTTAATTCTCTTTTACATCTATTAAAATCATCTGTGATTTAGAATGCAGCATGGCATGGATTTGATATCTTTTACATTTCAGAATCTTTGGTTTTCTCTTCTGATTGTGTTAGGCATTCTCAAATCATGAGTGCTTCAGTTTTCTCTATATGTTCTTTTATGTATTCTTAATGCTTTCCATGTGCCAAGTGGTAAAGACTTTATATCACTAATTGTCATATATATTTCAAATATAAAATACTGCAAAACCTGTTTTAAACGCTTTTGGAATCAATGAATTTTTGCTAAGGTAGTAGAGAGTTGTTCATATAAATTAATTCTATTGTTTTTGCAAGATTAAAAAAATTTACAAGGTATAATTTCAAAGTTGTAGCAAATACTTTAAGGCCATTTAAAAAATTGTGCCTTTCAGTTGTAAAATTCTTTCATCTCATCTCCTCCTGTTTTCTTGGGGGAACTTGCACCTTTCATAACCCTCTGTCTTCCTAGTCAGCTGACTCTTCAAATGTTTAAAAATGTGTCTGGATCTCCTGAACCCCTAAAAAACCTTTACTTGATCCTACCTTCCCCTAACTACCATCCTTTCTCTTTTCTTTCACAGCCCAACTCTTAGAAAAAGCTGTGTGTACTCCTTTTAAAAATGACATTTAAATAGTTTTAGAACGTTTTAAAATCAATTCTTGGTTCCTTGAAGTTTGGCCTAATTGCTCAGTTAGTTATCAAACTAGGAAACAGACATCTTTCATCTACTTGATCTTTCCTTGTGGATGGTCAGACTCACCTCCTTTGAATGCTGACAAGACTTTTTCAAGGGATCTGCAGCACTTTGGTGTTTGCCATGAAAAGTAAATGCTATCCATAAACATCCTGACCTCCCCACTCTGTACTTTTTCTTCACACTGTACTTTGCACTGGATCTCTTCTGTCACGGTGTCAGACACCTTTGTCAAGGATACATCTCTGTTCGTATGTCTTGCCTGATCAATTAATTCAGCAACAGTCATTTATCAAGCACCTACTGTGTGTCAGACACAAGATATGAAACAATACCTACTTGAAAGGAGCTTACACTCTAAGGGTGGTTGATCAGGGTTATCTCTTTTAAGGGATCTTGAACAGTTTTGATATGGGAATGGGAGAAACCTTGTAAAACAGTGTATACCATAGTGTTTTGTTCTACCTAATCCTATGCTTTTTCATAATCAAAAAACAAGACCTTTGTGAAATTGCAGGGATCTTTTAATGACCTCAAGCTTCTCATGAAAGTAAAGGCCTGTCTTTTCAATGTCAATCTTCTGTTGACATTGCTGTATGGCAGCAAAATATAGAATCAACCAACAAGTATTTATTAAGCATCTGTTATGAACTAAGGCACTGTGCTAAGTGCTGAGGATACAGTGACAAAAGTGAACCATGCAGTCCTTGTCTTCAAGGAGCTTATATTCTAATAGAATATAACAGTCTCCAAAAAAATATCGCAAAGAGGGCAATGGAGGATAATGTGGTGGAGATGATTAGGCTACAACACGTAATCAATGAGGAGCGTTGATGAACATCATTAAAAAATGTTGCAAGAATATGGATTGGTTATGTGGTGAAGTCAAGCAATTATAGATGGACCTCCAGAATACTCATTCCACTGTATTTAGCTTGTTTGTACGTAGTTATTTGCATGTTGTCTCCACCATTAGATTTCGGGCTCCTTGAAGGCAGCGACTATCTTTTACCTTTCTTTGTATCCCTAGTGCTTTGGTACAGTGACGGCACATAGTAGACACTTAATTTTTAGTTTTTGTTGATATCTTGTTTTTACATCAGTTTCATTCCTGAATATGTTTCTTTCCGTCCCTTACCCAGCAAACCATTCCTTATAACAAAGAATAGAAAGGGAGAAAAGGTACCTCAGCTAAATATATGAATGAATGAATGAAGGTAACTCACTTAATAAATGTTTATTTAGGGACTGACCCTATTGTCAATATGGCAAGAGAAAGTAAGGAAAATTTCCAGCTTATGTGGCTGACCTTCTTTGGCAGACTTATGGAAGGATGTGGGCAAGAGTAACACAAGATGGGCAGGAATGAATAGGTTTTGCTCTGTAATTTTGGAGGCAGTGTCTAAATTTATGAAATCATAAATGTGTCAGCTAGACATTAGGGATACAAAGAGAGAAATTACATTCCCTGCTCCCAGGGCACTTGTATTCTCTCTGTAAAGAGAAAACTTAAATGAAACTGTTCTTTCCACATTTACCAGTGATCTATTAATTGTTTGAAGTGATGATCTTTTTTAGTCCTCATTTATCCTGCACCTCTCTGCAGGATTTGGCTTTGTTGACCATCTCCTCCTTCCAGACATCCTTTCCTCCCTGGATTTCCATGACATTGCCCTCCTCTGGATCTGTTCCCACCTGCCTTGTTATTCTTTCTCAATATTCTTTGTTAAGACCATCATTGTCTCATTCCCTATACATAGGTGTGCCTCAGGACTCTATCCTATGTCTTCTGTTCTTTCTTCATATTTCCCTTTTGGGGATTTCATCAGCTTCTCTCTGAGTTAGTTGTCAACTCTTTGCAGACTTTGCAGATCCACATACTGCTCTCAGTCCTTCCTGAATCATCAGTCCTTTACTTCTACCTGTCTATTAGATATTTCCAGCTAATTATCCTGTAGGCATCTGAAATGAAACATGTTGAAAAGAGAATTTAGTCTCTTCCTTCACCCTCATCCCCAACCTTCCCAATTTTTTCTAACTTACCTAGGTCTGTTGAGTGTACCACCATCCTTTTAATCATTCAGGCTCACAGTCTTGGAGTCAGTGTGGAGGCTATTTTACCACATGTTTCCTTTTCCCTCATTCAAGCCCTCATCATCTCTTGCTTCTTCTAGTACAATGACCCACCTAATTGGTCTCCCTCTCTGCAGCTTTTCCCTTCTTCCACACACAGCTGCAAAAGGATGTTTGGATATTTCTAAATCACAGGCCTATCCATGTATGTCCTCTCTGTAAGAACCTCCAGGGGCACCCTCTTACCTCAAGATAACCCTTTACAGTGTGGCTGTAAACTTTTTTTCAAGGCTTTTGGATATCACTTTCCTGCATGTACTTTGTATTACAACTAAACTGGCCTTTTTGCTGTTCCTTGTATCCACATTTTGTCTATCATCTTCCTGCTTTTGCGTAGGCCACCTAAATCTGATATATACTGTCTCCTCACCTCTACCTTGTAGAATCAATATTTCTTTAAAGCTCAGCTAAAGTGCTGAAAGCCTAAATTCCTTTCGCTTATAGTATTATTCCTCCTTCTCCCTAATTCCTTTGTAAATATTTTGTATTTTTTTCATTGTATAGTAAGTGCTATTTCCTTCCAATAGACGATAATAAGCTCCTTGAAAGAAGGGATTGGTATATAGCAGGTGCTGAATAAATGCTTGTTCAGTTTTATTATTTTTGAATGGAAGAAAAATGGAAGAGTTTTATGCCTCAGAAAATTAATCTTTGTATCAAAAAAAGTTACGTTATAGCCACTTAACATATTTGTTTGTTTTTAAGTCTTGCAGGCTATGTTGAAGCTTTAGCTTCCAGGTTAGGCCTGTCAATTCCTGATCTCACACCCAAGCAAGTTGATATGTGGCAAACACGTCTTAGTGCGCACTTGGTAAGCATTTTTGTAAGAACTTGGTAAGATTGTAATAACATTGTAATTTGTAACGTGATTCAAGCTTTCAGGCAATTTGATTTTTAGCAGTATTTTAACCTTTTTTGGGGGAAAACTCAGTAATTGACTGAACTAATAAGAAAATTAATGATTTTATGTTCTTAATTTCTTTCATCCTTGAGATTTTCCTCAAAAAAATAGTAAATGTTGATTTTTAAATCATTTTTAGTTTTTGTTGATATCTTTTTTTTTATCACTTTCATTCCTAAATATATTTCTCCTTATCCCTTAACCCAGCAAAGTATTTCTCATAACAAAGAGTAGAGGGGGAGAAAAGATACCTCAGCAAAATGCATTATATATGTATGCGTGTATAACCAAGTCTGATAATATACTCAGTGTTCAACACTCATATTCCCCCTTGTCTGTGAAGAAGGGAGGGAAGTACATTTTCTCCTTTCTTGTTCTGGACCAGCCAGAACGTTGTTTAGTTCCATTTTTATTGTTCTTTCCATTTGCATTGTTGTAGTCATTGTAATACACTAAATTTAATTTAATTTTAAAAATTACAGATTTTAATGGAATTCAGTGAATAAAGTAATAAGCTTAATTCAATAATATATTGATAGGAAATGAACCAAATGTGAAAATAAGAAAAATCTTATCCAATATGCATTGATGTTTTCATTTAGGGATAAACTCAGCAGTTTGTTAGAGTCCTGTCACAGAAATTAAATACCATGTTTACTTGATCAGGATTTCTGAGTGCAGTATTTTGTGGGGCAGAGGAGGGGCATCACCTCCCTTAGGCTGAAATAGTGCTTTTGACTCCTGACAGCATCTCTGAGGACTTAAGGAGAAATGAGACTGTCAGAAGAGAGAAAATGGCTTCTCTCAGAAGAAATGTTAAGCCTGAATTTATAATATATTTCAATTACTTTTCTAATTATACAGATAGTGAAGTAATCACATCTCTTTCAGGAATAAAGTAACTTTTAGAAAAGTGATATTAAATATTTTATTTTTTGTTCTCCTTTATTTCCTTAGGGCAAAGCTGTCGGAGTGGCTGTTGGTTGCATTTTAGGAATGTTTCCTTTGTTGTTCTTTAGAGGAGAAGAAGAAGAAAAAAAACTGGAAGAAAAAAATTAACTGTTTTAGAATCTTTATAGAAAGATGTAAAATAATGTACCTCACTTATTAACTATGCTGTCACAATATTTAGGAATTAAGACAGTAACTATGTATAGATATGGGAACAAGCAATTAAGCATGTTTTATTAAAACACTAACTTATTGTGGCTTGGTGTTCTTAGTACATCTTTTTATAAAAAATGGCTTCGTAATTTCATATAAATTGTTGAAATGCCTTTTCAGTAGTGGCAGTGGACATTTTTATTTTACAGTTTTATTTTTCATATGTTATATATAACAAGGCTATTATTTTATTCTAAGTCATTGATGTACTGTATAGATTTGGGATTTGCTTTTGTTATCAACTACGTATACTTGCATGAAAACATCCTCTCTTATTCATAGCTGTTTGAAATCAGCTTTGAAGTTTTCCCATATACAAACACTATTGGTCATTTTGCTAAAGGTTTTTAATTCCATCATTGTTCTTGCCCCTAGTATCAGTTTTGGCCTGATTTGAGATAATGAATTTCCATTCATGCACAGTACTTCTCTTTCCTCGTTGACTCATTCAATCAGTGTGGAATTGAGCTGTTTGTTTTAAGTGTTGCTGGATTTTTTTAAATTTTCTTTGATCTTTTTGAGTCTTAAGAGCCAGAAGTTAATGCATATCTTCCCACTTACATAAAATACCCCATGTTATAAAATGTACTTTCTACTTCATTTTTTTTCTACTTTTTTTTTTGCCTTAAAACTCCCAATTTTGAGTAATTGTGTTCTGTTTTGGGCTCATAGAAAAGAAAAACTAATAATTTTTGGTATGTTTTATGGGGAAAATTATCACAGAATTAAACATGGTGTTCTATTTTTATAGTTAAGAGAACAGAAAGGGAGAGAAAAATGGAAATTGTATGTGAGAGTTGAAAATTAAGGATACATGAATTCTATAGACAAGAAAAAAATTAAGAGAAGGAACTGGAATCTGAGAAGGCTTGTGGTACAAATAGTGAAGTTGAACAGAACTGGAAAGGTTCTCGTGCTCTGCTGAGGAAGAGGGTTTTTCAAAAATTTCATCTTTATCCATAAGATTTCCATTGCTGAAGTCTCTATGCTGATACTTGAGATGTCAACATGTATATGTATCTTTTTTATTGATGGGCTTGCTTTCTGGAAAAAAAATATTTTGTGGGCAAAACTAGCCTTTGTGTTTTTTTTTTAACTGTGTAGTCAAAATTGATGAGGAACCTTTTTTTTGCCTTGTTTTTCTGTTATTTTATTTTATCTTTTTTTTGGTGAGGCAATTGGGGTTAAGTAACTTATGTCTGAGGTCATGTTTTTCTGTTATTCAAAATATGTTCTAAATAGAAGTTGCTCATTTCTGTTCTTTTATATCATTGGAATTTAATCATGAATGAGATTTAATTTTCTCAATCTTTATAGCTTTTCAAAATAGGGACTATTAATTACATAATTATAAATGGGTGTTAATTAAGCCAATTTCCTACCTCATATGTTATGGGGAGAATTATCAGGTAGGAATTTTATTTTGGCTGTTCAAGGTTGTTATGCTGCTGCTTTGGCTTTTAAAACTTGTAGAATGACTGTAATATTTACAGCCATAATATGTTAAAGCTTTTTTGCAGTTGGCATTTGTTTACTTATAACAGCCCATTTTAAAAATGAAGAGCTAAACTGTCACATGAAATAATTAGTTATAAATTCTCTCAACCACTTTTACATATTCAGTGCCATCCTTTAATTACAAGTGAAGAGAGGAAAAGAAGCAGAAGCAGAAACCTAAACAAGTTGCAGAATGCAAAAATGGGGAAATATAGAGGAAATATAATTTTTATGATGCAGAAATAATTTGACTCTCATTTACGTTGTACAGAATTATAGGACTTGAGGCCTTTCCAAAAATTGTGGTTTATGTTGTTTGCCCATTCAGGAATTACCAGGTCAATGCCAAATTATGCTGGACTGTTTGATATATGAGTACTGTGGTGTGTTATTTTAGATGAAGACTTATTTAAATAAATGTTTTAAATACTTTGGACACTGTTGTGTATAACCAATCCCACCTATTTTCATACAAATATTTCAGTGTGGTGCTTGCATTTTTTTTTAAACTTATTATCTCCAAATACGTACTGTTGTCCAGAAAAAGCTTTGTGGTGTATTTTTCTCTTCATAAATTAATGCAGTCTTAACAAAATCTGATTTTGACATCAATTTTTTTCCTAGAAGAGCTTGAATGCAACATTCTTGACATAATTTATCATTTCACAATGTGAAGTAAATAAATTCCTAATTTGAGACTTAATTGGATAATTCAAATAATGAACTATTGTTAAAGTAAATTAAACACCCGCACCCTTACCGAAGGTTTTTGTTGCTCAGAATCATAATTCTAAGTATGGTGCTTTGTACAAAGTAGTTTCTTGGTTTGGCTTCCCAAGATGATATCTTCACATAAGCTTATTTCATTCTTGGGGTCTGTCATGGTATTTTCTTACCGTTAAAAATGGAGCCTTCATTTCTCATGCTAATTATTTATTAATGTTTGAACACTGAAACAATAATGGAGCCAAGAACAGTATTAACTGCTATAGCAGTATTCATTTAAGTCAAAACATGTCTATGTATTAGTTTTTGTTTAACTTGTGGATGCATGTAAATTGAGTGCATTTTGTTGTTACTGTATGCTTAACTACAACTGTTTTTTTAAACTGAGATAAATTGAACTAAACATATTTTAAGAAGTTGAAAATGTAGTTTTGATTTTGAAATTTTAAATGGACACAGTTATCTCCAGTTAGTGAAAATCTTTAGACTTAAAGGAAATTTAAGATAATACATGCTTATTGCAGAAAGGTAGCCATCTCTGTGCAATCTGTGTTTTTTGTTATGGCATAGGTAATGGAGAAATAATCCTACTCTGACTATTTTGGTCTTTATTAGCAAAAAAATCAAGGATACAAAGGTACTTGAAAATTATCAGAATCCCAACTGATTTTTAAAAATTTGCTTAAATAAAGTACACTCTGCCAGTAACTATTTTTGCTGCAAATCTCTCTAAAATGAACTGTTTCCCTTCCTAAGAGTATAAGGAACAGAATTTGACTTTTTTTGCTTCAGATTTTCCTTTCAGAACACTCATCACCAGTATATTGTGTTATTAGGAAGTGATGCTCTTAAGGTTTATTGAGATTTTCGGGGCTATTTGACCCTATGATAAATGTCCCTAGACAGCTATGCTTTTTTTTTTTTAAAGGCAATTGGGGTTAAGTGACTTGCCCAGGGTCACTCAACTAGTAAGTGTCAAGTGTTTGGTCTGAAGATTTGGACTCAGGTCTTCCTGACTTCAAGTGCTCTATACCTGCGCCACCTATCTGCCCCCAGCTATGCTTTTTGTGTTCTTGTCTGCTTTTTATGATTTCTCCTGTTTCTTCTCTAACAATTAATCTGTAAGCTATCATATAGATTTTTTTTAATGTCTGAACCTGTGATTTCATTTGTTAGAGAATGCCAGTGAGAAAATTCCCTTTACCAATGTACATTGGCAACTGTTCTGGAATTTGTAGTCTTAAGAGAGTTTTCTCAAGCATTAAAAGATTAAGTGAATTGCCCAAGGTCACACAAATGGTATTTGAGCCCAGATCTTCTTGACCGAGGCTAATTTTCTGTTTACTGTATAGAACAATGCTTTGCTGCTTTTTGTTTTATAGAATGATTGAAACTTAAAGTTGGAAGGGACCTTAGGGATAATCCAAGGGTGGGGAACCTGTGCCTTGAGGCCACATGTGGCCTTCTAGGTCCTCAGGTGTGGCCCTTTGACTGAGTCCAAACTTCACAGAACAAATCCCCTTAATAAATGGATTTATTCCTTAAAACTTGGACTCAGTCAGAAGGCCTCACTCAAGGACCTAGAGGGCCACATGTGGCCTTGAGACCTGAGAGTCCAGTGTTTAACTTTAAAATCTGTTATGTAGCATCCTAGACAAATGACTGTCGAGCTTCTTCTTAAAGACTTCTAATGGTGGAGAATTTAGTATTTCTTAAGATAGCCCATTTTTATGAATGTAGTTATGTTGAGACAAAATCTATACCACTCTAGTTTCTACCTAGTACTCTAAGCCAAGAAAACCAGGCAGAATTCATATGGCAATTTGACAGATATTTGAAGACTGTGATTACATCTTTCCCAAGTCTTATTTTCTGGGTTGGACATTTCTCATTCCTTAAACTGATCTTCCTGACTTGGCTTTGAGTCATCCTTGATAACCTGGTCATGATCATCTGGATGTGTTTTAGTACGTCAATGTCCTTCCTCTATCTGTTGCCTTCAGATCTGATTATAGTATTCTGTATGTGGTCTAACCAGGGAAGAGTACTGTAGGATTATCGTGTCCCTCATTTGGGACATTATAACATTATTAATGGCTCATGGAATTTTGTTTATCTACCTCTGTTAATTCCTGGCCATTCTTTCATGCACACCTCAGAATTTGCAGTTCACCATGAGCTGTGGGCGTAGAAACCAGATAACCAAGACTGTAATTAATTGTCTGTAAGTGTTCGGTGGACTTTGAGTGAGAGTCCTTGAGGTTCTTATATGAATAAGTGAATGTTTTAGTGCATAAACTCCTAAGCAGCCAAAGCTTATGTCTCAGACTCCTGACACCCCCCCCCTTTTAAATATTGCTTGGTTCTTTTTGCTTCAGTTTTCTCATCTGTAAAATGAGGGACTGACTTAGGTCATAGACTTTACTTAAAGAACATATGAAGAACAATTATCTATAATACTTAGAAGTGTCTGTTTAGCCATTCCCATGGGTGATTTCTGAACAAGATTATAAAATGACTGAATCTATGCTTTAGGAATATACCTTGAGGTAAAAAAAAAAATTTATCATGATAATTTTTAGTGCCCTCACCCCCAAACAAACTCCCCTTTCCCCATTTTTCCCTGGCTTCATTCATTTGTGGCAGAGTAGGGAACTTGATGGCATGGGTAGCACACTTACCAAATTTGCTGATGATAACAAAACTAGGAAGGATTGCTAACAGGGATGAATGAGCCAGGATCTGAAAAGATCTTGGCAGGCTAAATGATTGGGCTGCATTCAGTAAGGTGAAATTTATTGAGAATAACTGTACTGTCTTAAACTTGAAGGTTAAAAGAAATTCACAAGTACATATTGGAAGCATGTGGCCAGCTAGCATTTTGTGTGAAAAAGATTGAGAATTTTAGTGGATTACAAACTCAGTGAGCCTATGGTAAGGCAGCCAGAAGTAAATAAAAAAGCCTAAGTTGATGGGATCTAAGGCTGCATAGAGAGGCATGATGTCTATGACTAGGGAGGTTATTATATTGCTGAGTTTTGCTTGTGTCAGACCACGTCTGAAGAGTTTAATTTCTGTTGTAGGCATTCCATTAAGAAGGACATTCACTGACAAACTAGAAAACTTCCAGGAAATGGCAACCAGAATGGGGAAGTACCTTGATGTCATGCCATGTGGGAATTAGGGGAAATAGTGGGGGATCTTTAGCCTAAAGAACAAACTTAAGGGCCTGTGAGAGGATGTGAAGGCTTATCACTTGGAAGACAGATTATATTTGTTCTACTTGCCACCAGATGGAAGTAGGAGGCAAGGAAGGCTCAAAAGTTACAGAAATGGAGATTTTGGCCTAATGTAACAGACTTCTAATAAATAAAGCTATCCAGAAGTGGAATGGGCTGCTTGAGGAGGAGGTGTTCAAGAAATGGCTGAGTGTTCTCTTGCCAGGTATGAGATGGGGGGAATTCTTGTCCAGGTATAAGTTGAACTAAATGTCTCCTGAGGTACTTTGCAACTTGGGGATTCATTGAAAAAATCAAATATTTTAGAAGTATTATGGATGGACAGATGTCAAGGATATGATTTTTTAAAAAAAGCACCTTGTCATTATGTGTCTTTTGACTCAGTTTGACAAAGCAGTCCTGCTCCCATGCAATTTACATTCTGCTAACTACATAGCTGATCAACTGGGCAAGAAATTTACGTAGAAGGGAGGCAAAACAAACAAAAAACCCAACCCATATTAAACCTTTCAAACAAGTTTAAAAGAAAGAAGCCTAACACCTTTCAGAATTCATCTAAAGCAGACAAATTCCAGGAAAAAAATTATAAGGATGAAGTAAATACTGGAAATTATAAAAAATGTTTTCTTTGTCTCAAAACCAATATTTTCCATAGAAATTGGCCCTCTTTAATAGATGTCAAAAAACTTGTGGGTTGAGAATGGTAAGTATGGCATTTTGGTAATCTAAAATGCTCATTTGGTGGCCATTTCTAAAATGCAACCCTTTTAATGGAGGTTATTTACAATGGAAACTTTTAAATGGGGCACTTTGTATTACAATTTAAGCATGTCATAATTTATTATTCTAAAGAAGTTTGTTGAAATAAATGTTTTTAAATAAACATGTCAGAACTTATCCAAATGACTGCTGTCCTTTAAAGTAACTACCTTAAGGAGGTTTTGTGCTTATTCCAATTCGTGTCATTGTTGAAAACACTTTGGGAATATCTCTTTTTTGGAACTGCTATCTGAATTATACAAGGGGACTAATTTCTTTATAGTACACACTTTCTGATCCAAAGTTTGGTCACATGTTTTATTTAGCACTATAACCCATAACTTAGAACTAGAGCATGCTTTAATTTGGGCTGACTTCAGTCCTGGGGCTTCTCATGAAAAATTTGTGTTTGTATCATGCCCAGTTATCTCATATTCTCTTTTGGCTTGTACTTCCAACTTAGGATTCCTCTGGAAACATCAAAATTTAACATAACAGCATATCTCCACGAATAAAACATTTTGCACAAGGAAATTCTCCCGCAGATAGGTTCACTTTGGCCTTGTGTTTGGCTATGTCTTGCTCAGTGGACCCCACAAGCATAAAAAGATTCCTGTGCCAATATCTAGACTACAAGAGAGCAAGACCATCAGAAATTACTTTCTACAATAATCACATTTAGGGGTAGTGATCAGCCCCTAGACATTACCTCTACCCTACTTAAAGCAAGTGATAAGATACCATGCCCAGATATATTGGGTGAGAATACTTTTCATCTTTCACTCTGTGAACACGGTGTGAACACATTTCCTTAGGTGTGATCGGAAGACTATTCAGATTGGATGAGGCACTTGGTCATGCTCTCTGGGACCTGTAAAAAAACCAGGAAGCTTGTTGGAATCCGAGATTCAAACTTCTAGTAGCAGAGAGAAGTGGGTGGTCCAGCTAAACTGCTGGAAAATTGGGGGGGGGGTTGTGGGACAAGGGTAGAAACAGAAACCTAGGCTAGCCTTAGTCTTGGTATCCTCCCTTCTGCACCCTCCTTAGCCAGAGGAGCGTTGTGAACTTTGAAGCAACTGGGTAATATGGACTCTTGCCTCAGCGTACTACTGATAGGGTCAGCATTAGGAATCAAGGACACACTAGACAGATTCAAGGCTCTACAAAGACCCAGTAGAAAAGCTGTGCCATACCTCAGTGGACTATCTTGGGGATTCCAGCAAAAGAAAGAATAGGGGATGTGAGATACTCCTTTGCCATGTGTGATTGCTGAGCTTGACAATATATAGATGACAATATAGAGTTCAGCTGGTTCACTAGGGAGTCAAGATGGGGAAAGGAAGAGAGTGCCTAGTGCAGGGGAGATGGGGAAGGAACTGAGGGGTTGAGGGATTGGAAGTCAGCTTGGGTGAAGAGTGAGGTTTGGTATTGGAAGGCATACAGTGAGGTGAAAAATCTAATAAATTGTCATCAGATGAGGGAATTTCAAAGTTCATGAAAGTGGTGGTGTATTTATGGATGTTAGGTTATGTCCATCTTTGTGTGTGGCTGAGGTGGGATTGAGGAAATGAATTAATGAGTTCCGTGTCCCCATTAGGCTGTGAGCTCCTTGAGAGTAGGCACTGTTTTTTGCCCTTTTTTGTATCCCTAGGACTTAACACAATGCCTGGCACATAGTAGGTACTTAATAAATGCTTGTTGACTCACTGA